GCAAACTGTCCCATTATTCCACCTTTTAGATATGAATGTTGGGTTTATAATTACCCTACTCCTCCCCTGAGGTGAACCAGTAGATGTAATATTGCTGGGTTGACCAGAACCTTTACATTACGCTTCAGGGCCTTTCTGTTAATGGTATCATAAACACACATTAAGTCACTGAATGAAGGAATAATCTGAGTGGAGCTTCAGTAAATCAAGTTCTGGCAAGAGAAATGGGCCCTATTATAAGGACAGGGATGGATGCCTTAAACATCTGATCCAAGTCATTGATTTAAAGACTATTCTACCAAATGGGAGGAAACATTAGTAACGTTTTAATTAACAAAGTTAATAAAAAACAAAAAGGAAAAGTTGATTCTGAAATTATAAATAGCACATATAAATAATTTAGTTTTTACTGACTGACTTAAAATAAGAAAAAAGTTGTATTTTGATTTGATGTCACACACAGACAAGAAAGGCTCCATCTTTTGTTTTCTTACGTTTTAGCTGTATTTGTGTGTGTGTGTGTGTGTGTGTATGTATATATATATATATATATATATATATATATATATATATATACACTCACACACCCTATTATGATATTAGAAAGTCCAAAAAAATCCAGACATCTGCACAGAATCTTTTAATTTATTTCTCTCTCGTTTTTTAATTAGTCCAACAAGAGAAAGAACTAAACTTTTTAAACTTATGACTTTTATAGTTCATTCAGAAACTTGTAGCAAGAAGTTTCAGTTTATCAATTAAACTTGCAATTTTTTTTCCTCAGGACTCAGCTCCAGAAAACCAGTGTGCCCTTTTTATCAATTTGCATTTAGGAAGAACAGATTCAACTCTGCCTTGAGTTCCTGAATGTTTGGCAGAAACATCAAACTGCACAAGTCATTCCAGAGGCCATGGACGAAATGTTAATGCTAAAGGCTAGTTACACATCTGCCATCCAGCATGGCCAAGCACAGAGGTCCCTTTTTAAGAGAGCACAAGCAACCATTTTATATGTGTCCTTTTCTGGGGTAACCACTGCCAACGAGCCAGCTCAGAGAACTTCATGGGTGTTCGACATTATCCACTGGGTGATATTCCACATTGCAGGGCAAGACTTTTTACGCTGTTTAGAGAAAGAAGATTTTGTTGTGCAGAGTGATGCAAAAGGCAGCGTAGAGGCGTTGACATTTACGATGTGTTGAGGCGCTGTGCTGGGGTTGTAGGAGCAGGGCCACCGCTGATAGACATAATCAGGGGGAAGTATGTGGTTTCTACCAAGCCTATGAAACATCCTCTCCTTTTTTTGTTTTGTTTTTGCATTAATTTACATACCTTAACCGTTGCCTCGTCTTTTTCAGCACAGGTCCATGTTCATGGAGACAGAACTACCTCTGTGTCTCTAGGCGGAAATGTATGTGTGCCTGCTGTTGTTTTGTACTGATCTACATACATCATCGTACTCATCTATGAACAGCTGAATGTTTTATTAATTGGTTTATTCATTGTGGTTATCCCAACAGTTATACTTGCAGTTACAGCAGATTGTAGTAATGCACAAAGGTAAAGAAACAAACAAAAGGAAAAAAAATTGTGGTAAATGTCATTTTTTTAAATGACAAAGATGTCTTTATGGAAAGTAAGCTTAAATACTATTTAATTTAGAACTGACTGAGGTTTGTGAGGGTGGTTGTGTTGTCAGAGGACAAATATGCGAGATCAGTGTCTTGCAACACATAGTTTGGTGCAACTCTGCTTCGTTATGGAAAAAAAAATGATTCTCCTCGTTAAAGAGCGTTTCCCTCAGGGACACTGTGCCGTAACCTGAACTTTTCATTGATTCTGGGTATTAAACTTCCAGCTGAGTTTTTGAGCACTTTAACTAAAATCTTCAATTTTTTTGCATTTAGTTTTTATTAATCTGGGTTTTCTGAGCGATTTAAAAAGTAACGTTTTGTTTTTGATCATGTCTGTTTAAGTCTATTAATCAGGGAGTCCAAAGTGTTGTTCATTGGCCACTTGCAGCCCTCAGGAGGATATATTTTCAGCCCCTGATCATGATTTCCAGATGGTACACTGTTATGCAATTAATGATCTGGTAAATTTTTTTCAAGCTTTTTTTGTGTTGTCCTAATATAGTTGTATTAAAGAACAAAAGCTGAAAGAGGTTTATTGGATCTCTCTCCTACAAAAAGCTCTGCTTACATATATGCAATGAAACATATACCACATCTCTGCAAAATGAAAAATTTATAAACAAAAGAATTAAACTCAAATAAAAAATATTGAATCAGGTTTATACTAGTTTTGCACCAAAATCAGTATCGGGGCCCTAAAAAAGTGGTATTGGTAACGGCGAGTCCCAACAAATAGGGCACCGATACCATTTTGAGAGCCAAAAGTTTATTCAACTATTGTCACACATTCAAGGTAGGCAATAAAAAACTTCACTTTGTATTAGTCTTTTTCTTTCTTCACAAAGACAGGCAGCAGCTTCACAAAGCCATGATGGCAATTATTTTACATCCAAGTAGTATGCAGTTGTTCATATATACACACACATCAATTTCAAACAGTCTCGGTATCGACCGATATTGCACAGCCAGGTGTTGGGTATCAGTATCTGGGCCAAAAAATGGCATTGGCACAACACTAGTTTATACCACTTAAATAAAAACCACACAAAATTGAACAAAATTAAAACAGTCGGTATGTTCTCTAATCTGTTTATAACCGGTAGATAAAGCATTATTTTGTAAATGTTATATTTTAAATCAGAATTTTCCAAAGTAGAAATCAGGAATTTTTCTGACATTTTGCTCTTAATATTTAGTTGATTATGTATCTGAATTTTTTTCATAGAGTCATTAATTCCTAAAATCCCTTGTAAACATTGTGGCTCATGTGGTAACATCCAGGTTAGCATCTTGGCAAAAGAGTGAAACACTTTTAGCTTATTAATACCCTGTGGTTTCACTTATTTCTTTAACTAGTGTTACTATTTATGAGTGTAAGAAGACCGGTGGTGCATTCCAGAACAATTTAATGGATAAATGTACTACGTTGTAAAGGAAGTTGATTACCTTTCAGGTAATAGCAGAGCTATACACAGTTAGCGCTACCTTCTGCACAGGCTCACACACTAAGCTAGCTGGGAAGGGCTGCTTTATATTTTCTTTTACACTGTTTACACTGAGGTTCCATTGGATGTGGAGCCAGTGTCAAAGGGCCATGCTGTGTACCTGGTACCCTAATCCATTGGGAGTGTTTTCACTGAATGGTTGAACTGTGCTCAAGCCAGGATTGCATCATTGTGCTATAGTGGTGTACCTGTAGGCTTTAAATAGAACAACAAACCAGGTATTTGGCTAGTAGCTTGCGTCTCATGGGTCTCTCTTCTTTTGTTTGGATCGAGTTTCGATTTTTGATTTGTTTAGATTTTGAGTTAAAATATTCAGATTTTGTAATGATACTGCCACCTGTGGTCAAAACACAGAAATGCAGCTCTCCCCTGCTTGATCTCGTAGCTCGCACTCATACGTGGCAATTAATTTTTTTTTTTTTGTGAGTTGCGATTGGTGTCTGAGCTTAGCTGGTTTCTACTGAGTATCCATGAAATTCATCTTGAATGTATCCATCCATCCATCCATCCATCTTCCTCCGCTTATCCGGGGTCGGGTCGCGGGGGCAGCAGCTTGAATGTAATGCTTCAATTTTTTGTGGACCTATTCAATATTAATGCGCATGACGTCACATCCACCAAACTGCGGGAACTTTCCACCCAGAGTAGATTCAGGGAAATAGGCTACAGGCTTATAGATGTATCGGCGCTGAACTACTGAGGTGTCAGTCTGCTCATCAAATGATGTTTTAGTCACAGTCTAATAAAAATGCAATTTTAAAGATATTTTTTATTAAAAACATGCATAATGTAACTTTAATGCTTGTGTCATGTATTATGGCATATGTATACCGGTATGTCTTTTAACATCATGAAAATATTTTTTATTACATAAAAGTCCAGAAAATGTGATCCACTGTCTGCACGTGTAGTCTTTCATTTGTAAACTGGAGAGGACCCACTTTGCTTTTTATCAGCTGACTTTCTGCGTGAATGATCTGTTCTGCTCTAGATTGATGTGGTGGCAAGCAGCAGAACGCATCTGGGGCACTTCAGAAATGCACCGCGGCGCACTCTGTGGTGCGGTTCTGAATCGCCACAGTCCCTGCACCTAGCTTACATACTGTTTCCACATCCAGTGTGACCGAGGGCTGAGGCCACTGCGCGTCAACATGATTAGAGACAGAGTCTCTTCTAGAGGAATCTCTGGCTCAGATTCTGTTCTGCAGCTCAGTAAGAAAGCTTAGTCAAACACCCTCAGTTTTTTTTTCTCTCTCTCATGCTTATTGATAAATGAAAATGCAAACTATAGATCTTGGCAAAATCTGAGGTATTATAACAAAGTTTGGATCCAAGTTGAACAAACACTAATTTAGGAGAAAAATGTAACGGTAATGTATTTGCACATCTGTTTTTTTGTTTTGTTATAGAACAAAATGTTTGGATACCGCTGCCTTAAATAGTCTCGGTTATACCCAGATTTTATATACATCTTTAAATATCTTCTTGGATGATGGGTTGTACAGTCTGTATTTAGAAAGGGTCTGCTTAAAAAAAATCTGTGTAGCTGTAAATGTTTGTTCTCTTATTTTGACTGTTTGAATTTGGTAACCCCTTTTTATTTACATTCAGTTTAATCAGGGTAAAATCCATCAAATCAAATGTGAACCTGTCTTTTTGTTTACATTCACCTAGATATAAAAAAATTATTTGAATACATTTTGCATTGCATAAAAAAGATTTACACTCCTTTTTGTCTGTTCTCCAGAAAATGTGTAACTTGTTCATTCCAATAAATATGTAAGAAATATGTAAGCTGTTTCTTCGTACAATAAGAAATAGTTTTGTAACATGCTGTTGTGTGTTTTATATATTTTTTTAGACTCCAGGTCTCTGGACTGATGAGGCAGCTGAACTGGGAAGTCCTCACCAGCGGTCCGCCTCTTGGGGGAGCGCAGATCATCTGAAAGAGGTATTTTAACTTGTTTTGACCTTTCGATCTTTAAGGTCACTGCTGATTCCTACAACTAACAAGTCATTATATTCACACAGCTGCTTAAAGAAAATATTTCTGCCATTCTTGAGGTTCTCCATTTACTTGGCTTGTTTTTATTTGTCAGAGTCTGAGGTCAGCCTAAATGTTACTCTCCTGAAAGTTGGTTTCCACCCCTGTCTATCTGCTGGCCTTGGCAGGCCATCCAGCTAACCACATGGACTCCATCCCTCCAGACCACAGGCTAAATTTAACCTCCGTCTTCCCTCTGTTCCTGTATGACTGCAGTGTGAATCTCATTATGGACGGTTGTTTTTTAAGCTCTGCAGGAGCTCCTTACAGGGCTGAAGGCAGTGCTCAGTTGGCTATGTTTTTCAAAGTAAGCTAAGGAAGTTTTTTTTTCCTTTAGAGCTCCACCTGATTTGGTATGTTGTAAAGGAAAAACTGTTTTTGCATAGAATAGGTTATGGAGCTACATGTTTTATGAAATACAACTGCAATAGTTTCTATACCATGACTTCCTCTTTTATTTAAGCATAACTCTTAAGTTGATGCAAATTCAGCTGCTTGAAAAAGACAATCCCCGGGACTTGGCCTGACAATCAATAACCCAGAACAGCCAGGAAAATCTTCCTTTTCTCATCAACTAAGATTACACATGGGCTGTCTGGACTTGTCATTATCGACTGCTTCCACTAAGTGAATGCTGTGAGCTGGATTCTTGCTCTCTAACCTTTGCAATTTAACGTGTGGGAGGACATTTTTGAAAGGAGCACGTCTCTTTGTTGACTGTGTTGCCTGGAGTACAAGATCTGCAGTGAAGAACCACACCTTTGTCTGCACAGCACAACCGTGTCTGTTGGTCCTACAAAGGGTATCCTGTTGTTTTGCTGATACTCGGCCAGATGTAGAAACACCCACTGACCCAACTTATTTCATCACCAGGCATGTAAGACTGACTCTAGAAATATTCTGACTTGCATCAACACTGAAGTCGAGTTTGTTTTGAAACCTTCAGGTAGCAGCAGAGTCTTGCAAAAGCACACATCACATTCGGTCATAAACCTCCAACTGTTTTATTGGGATTTTTTGTTAACGACCAAAACTAAGCAGAAGATAAATGTGAAGTGAAAATAAAGATTCTCAAATTTTCTAGCTTTTTTTTTTTTACTAAATGAAAATCTAAGTAGTGTCTCATTAGTTTGTCTCATTTAGTTTTAGTAAGTCTGTTTGGATATGTCTCTACTAGGTTTGCACTTTACGATTTTTTGTCTCTGCAGAATAGTTTGTTTTTTAAGGTTGGGTGATCGGTGTCCTCCATTTTTATTTACATGTCCCATCCAAGGCTGCTACTGACAGTCTAGCTAATCAATGTTTTTTTATCGCAAGGTTTTTTTTATTGATAATTTAATTGCAAAAGTTGCTTTATATGAGAATTTCAGAATTTGAACCAGCTAAAGAAGAAACTCTGCCTCTTGGGGAGCATTGAATAGAGCCCATTTACACCACACACATTTTCAATCTAAAATTCAAAATGCATATTTTGTACATACAGTTTTGGATGCATAACTGCCCTGAGTTGGTTATTATTTTAGCAAATGGCATGTTTTCAAGTCTCTATACTCCACCTAACAATTAATTGATTACTAAAATAGTTGTTTATTTCAGTAATCCATCATCATGATAAATTCTTTTAGGTCTTGTTTGAGCTCAGCTCCCAGTCATAAGGCAGCTTATAACAGGTTGTCTTCCAGAATTTACCTGTTTAACTACATCCATGTCCTGTCTTGGTCAATAGATTTTATTTAAGGTTTTTAGGGTAAAGGGGACAGAATAAAAAAAACACAGCAAAAATGTTTTTTTTTTTTTTAAGCCATGTATTATTTTCCTTTTGCTTTACAAATATGCTGTCTTATTTTGTCATATAAAAATCCCCCCAAAAAGTACATAAAATTTGTTGTTGTAATTTAACAAAACATGAGATAAGTATTGACGTTGATGTCCTTTTGCTATAATAAACCTTTTTAATCCATAAATTCCACTAAATATTCTGCTTATTTAGATTTATATCATGAAATAGTAGCTTGTAGCTTCTATCATAAGTTTTTCATGCAGTGGTTGATGATTGTGACCTGCTGGTTTACTGACTTGGTCTTATTTCCCCTTCAGCAGATTGCTAAACTGAGACTGCAGCTGCAGCGCGGCAAACAGGTCACCCGGCAGAGCAAAGACAGGGAGCAGAGCTCGCTGCAGCTGCCACAACCGGCACAGCACAGTGCTGCATGCCAATCACAGGTAGGTTTCTCATGTCACACGGCTCTGTCATGCACTGTTGAGGTAAAAACATTTCCATTCACTCAAATTAGGTGGTGCAAGATTTTATCCAAGCTGCTCCGATATGATAAGGGAGCTAAGCAGTTTGGATGAAAACACTGAAATGAAACGGACGGTTACAAAACTGCAACACAGCTGCTGAAGATTAGAAAACTGCAAACAATTTAGTTTAGGAAATCATTCTCCATAACCTTCTGTTATCAGCAAATATAGTGAAGTTCTGTACCAATAAATTCACATACTTGTAAGTTATTATTAAGTTAATCATATCTATAGGTTAAGATTTATGTATTTGTAATAAGTGAAAAAAAATATCAGAATATTTGTTAGAAATGTATGATATCTGTTGCACTGACTTAATTAAACATGCCAAGTTGATGTCAGCGGTCACTGAAGTCAAAAGGAGACTGAGGACGGGGAATGTGTCTGGGCATGCCTTTCCCTCTACTCAGCAGCTCATTCATTAGCAGATTTCCACCCAGGAAGAGAGAGACACTGAACTGCTTCACAAACTAACAGGAATACTGATATGTTTGTAACCATAACTCCCGTCTTCTCATTTCAGCCAGGATCTGGTTAAAAACAGCCCTCTAACCTAGATGTATGCACTTTATGGTTCCAAACATATTTCGGACACTTCCAGTCATCATTATGCAACATCAACGATCCACTTCTGTTTACATGGTGTTTCATAATATAATACATGCGATACAACTTCTGTCTTAATGGTTCAGGAGACCAAAGCACCCAACACATTCAGGAGGAGAATACAGATCCCACACAGCAACCGAATATTTACTTATCTATAAGGGACTGTCACTAGAAATGTTCTAAACGGCTCAGAGAAAAAACAAAACAAAAACATAACAGTAGATGCCGGTGTCTTTGTGTAATTATTAAACTATTGAGAAATAAGAGATTGCAGTATAATAACCACATCATACTAATGAAAAGGAAGGTAAGAAAAAGCAGATAGCACAGGGCTTTGAATGCTGATGTAAGTCTGTAAGGACGCATCGTTTTGCATTACATTGCGCTGATGTAGTCAGATAAAATGCTGCATGACTGTCCACAATGCTTTGAAAACAATAATTTATGTATTTTATTTAGTAACACATATGCAAGTGGCTCAATTCAGACTTTTTGAAAAGTGAACATTTTGTAATATGTACATTCAGACCCCTCGCATCGGGACCTCTGCTGTAGAGCACATGGACAGTACTCGGCTTTAAATGCGATTCATAATTTAAAGAGTTGCTTCAAAAATATATTTATGTGCATACTGTATAATCGTTAATCAACATAGAACAAGCAAATACATTGATGAATGCTAATTTACCGCAGTATTGATAACTGTTTAGCAACAAGCAATTATTTTTATTCATAAATATGAATCTGTACCTGATGAGTTATCACTTCTTCTGGGGGTATCACAATTCTTCAAGGAACATTTAAACCACTACCTCAACTAACTGGCAGAAATGATTGAGAGGTGTATAGGTTGCCTGGGGAATGGGATTATTTTTTAATCTAGCTCTAAAAAGGGCTTAATATTTGAAAACAGATCCCATAATGGACAAATCTCATCTTCTGTCATAGTACAAGGGAACTTCATCAACTCTAACGTCAACCCCGGTGCACAAGTCGCTCATATGCAGAGTGCCGAGCAGCGTGGAGGGGATCAACCATGAGCTGGAAAACGTATTCATAAGAGACGACTGGGAGCCTGGCTTGCAGGTAGAAATTTGTGCTCGCACCAGAGATATATTTGGCTATGAATTGTAATAATTTACTGGACAGTGATGGTTATATTGCAGCGCTATGATAAAATCATGTAATGTTTTACTCACAAAGTTTAATATCTGACTAATGTGATAGATGGGTAGGAATGTTCACAATCTGCCCCTAACCACACAGAAGAATAACCATAGAAAACAGTCTCCGAGGATCAGTGTTTGTAATCAGTCGTGGAAAAAAAAGGCTTTGAGTCACACTGACCTCCAACACACTTCTGTGATTCAGTTGTGACACAATTCTGCCTCTGCACAAGTTTTTTATCTCTTTCACAAATCGATAGAAAGAAATTTCCATATTGGAAGTAATTTAGTTCACAGCCAGAGCAGAGGTGGGTTCTTAAATGATTTATTTAGTTGAAGTGTTTAATGTGGGCATCTAAGAGGAAAGATGGTGGCATCGCAAGTGGATTGATAAGGTTGCTGAAGGTTCAGACTGTCAGGAAAAGAAGGAAATGAAGTTCAGCAACCAAAGAGGCCTAGTTAAATAGCATGTTGGGTATACAGACAACATCTTGTCCTGATGTTGAAAATGAACGACAGGATCTGGAATAATTGCACATTATCATCCACTGGCCTCATGTAGGCCTACAGTGCAACTCCTCTATAAGGAAAGTCACTGTGTGTACAAGAAATTTCCTAATCAGAAATGTGTTTTCCGATTTTTAAACACCAGTTTTACAAAGCCCTGACCTGACTATAGATTTTTTTTTTTTACTACATTATTATTTTTTTACTTTTAAGAAAAATAGGAATTAAAACTAGTATTTTTTCAATAAAATGAAATCATATTTTTCCCGACGTAGATTTAAGTTTCAGAGCTGATTCTTTCTGTTTTAAAGAATATCTGTTTTTGTACATATTGCAGCAAATAATATATATATACTTGTTTAAGACAGTTTTTAGCTCACACTAAAACCTTTGGAGTTTTAGTTTTTTGCACAGAAAAATGTAACGTGGCACATATCTCAACAGATGTTATTTTTCTATTAGGGAATTTTAAAGTAAATTGTGTTTTTTAAAGTTGAGCTGAATCCTTGATTCAGTGTAGGATTTTTTAAAAATATTTTTAAACTAAAAAAACCCTAAGCAGCATGTCTGTAATTGGGTGTGTAGTATCCATATCAGGACCAGAGGTGACATCAAGCCTTATAGGTTGAGAAAGCAGTCCCTGTTACACAGCTCTGCAGTTCAACTGGGTGTTTTCTAATGTTTCAGCTTTCCTTTGCTATTTAAAAGTCAGCTATGCCTTAAATTTATGGGACCCTGATGGTTTCATAATTGTCCCCTGATGCCTACTGTCATTGTGCCAACTCCTTGCAAATTCAGCTATGTACAAACACCTCCCTGCTCGGCATCTATTTCTCCTGGGCACTTAAGTGTGCAAAAGTTTTGTTGCCAAGTGAATGTCAACATTTTACACATTGTCTCAGAATATGAGGCACACAGCCGAACTTTTTGAATTGCTAAAGGAACTAATAAACAATTAATAGTTGCCAAACCTTTCAACTTGTTAGTCATGCTTAAGATTTATTAGATTCATGCAAAGACAGGCTTATAAAGTTAGTTCTTACATATATTTCAGTCTCCTGGAGTTAACTTGCTTAGAGGCCTGTAAATAAGGGCTGATATGAGGTTGTAAACCTTGGCAGGGCTGTGATGCTCCACACCCACATGGCTGAAACCCACAAACACACGCACTCACCTACAGATTTACAGCTTGCTGTGCACTCTGCCTTCTTCCTGCTCTCTCCTTTCAATCAGCAGAGCCAAAGCTGCACACAATTCACCTCCCGCTGTTCTCAAGCACCATCTGCTGTGGTGTTTGCTTCTCCAGTATCCCTTTAGACAAACACATCAGAGGGCTTTTAGCTGGAGATGTTTTAGGATTTGGAACATTTTCGATGGCGTTTTGGATTGAATGTGACGTCATGTAGAGAGTGAGCTGTTTGACTGAAAACCTCTCCATCTGTTGGTATCAGTACTTGAATTACTCTCTGAGGGTTGTGGAGGAAGGGCTGTGTCTTCTTTAAAAGCCTGACCTCTCTGCCATGCTGGGAGTCACAAACTTTAACGCATGACTTCTCACCATCTCCTTTTTGACCTTACAGGCCATGGAGGCGGTGGATGGCCGCCGCCCCCCCTTTCCCCCGCACCGCTATAGCAGCAGTAACGGTGATACACGTGACACAGACACTCAGGCCCCGTCAAGTGGTGAATCAAGCCCATCTCCCCTGCCCTGCAGCTCTGACCTCCTTCACTCCCCTGATGGAAGTCCCTGCTCCACTGAGGAAACAGATAAAGGTAGGCGTTCAGTTAAAGTGGAAATGAAACGGTTAACCAAACTACCTTAATTCATGAAATTGCATCTTACTTTTTTCTATAAAATGAAATCAGATTTTTCCCGACATAGCTTTAAGTTACCAATAATCAATCATCTTATCAATAAATATACGGTAATTACAAATGTGAAAAGTATAAACATAAAAGAAAAAACAAAGCATTTTTTTGTGAGGGCATCGCCATGTTGCAGTGCTGCAAGCAGCTGTACCTCACAACCGTAAAACACATAAGCTTCGTCTTTCTTTGGCATGAAGAAAGACGAAGCTGAAAGGTACGGAGCCCCTAAAGGGACATGGAGGGGAAAAAAATTACTTTTGCGAGATCCCGCAATAGTTTTGCGAAAAAAGTTAATTTTTTCCCTCCATGTCCCTTTAGGGGCTCCGTAGAAAGGAACCTCGAGCGTATTACATAATTATTGATAATAGGAAGACGCAATTTCATGAATTAAAATAGTTTGGTTAATCGTTTCATTTCCATCTTAAACTGATCTAGCTGAAATGTCCAGTAAAAGAAAAAAAAGCAGGGATCAAAGATTGGTCTGCTTTTAGACTGAAATTCAGATAAACAAATATATTGTTAACAATATAATCACTTGATGGACTTTTACAGAACATTTAGAGATTATTTTTGACTTGCTTAAATACATGTTTTTGAACTTATTGGCATCGATGGCTGTTTAAAAAAGAAATTAAAATCCAACATGGTAATTTGAGAATACATACTTGGTGTGGATATTCTACACATTATGAATCAGATTCCTAGAATGAAATCAGCTCTGCTGTTAATGGTTTTTATGGCTCCTTTTTATGACAGCAGTTTAGTCTTCTATAACATTTTATTAGGTAGGAGCATTCAGAGAGAACAAGTTTTAAGCATTACCCTTGCACACACTCTATAAATTCAGATTTCAAGGTCTTCTCTTATTTTGCCTCTTCGACTCAACTCAATTAGAGGTAATTAAATTTTTGATAATAATTCAATTTGATTAATCTCAATCTGGAGAAACTTGCCATTGCATTTAACCCATCTCCTTGGGGAGCAGTGGGTTGCCATTGTGTGGCGCCCGGGGAGCAGTGTGGTGTTACAGGTCTTGCTCAGAGACCCAGAGTGGAGGCTGTGGGGTTCAAACCGGGTACTTGCAACCTTTTCAGAGCACAAGCGCTGTTCTAACCACTAAGCCAACACTCCCCCTGAAGTCCGTCTTATATCAAAGTCCGTCTTTGATACAATATTGACTTTTTTTAAAGCATTATATGTGTGAAAGGGGATCTTAAAATATATTCTGTATTTAACAGGGAGTCAATAAAAGGGTCCTTAAATAGGAGAAATATGTTCTGTTTTTAATTTCCAGTAAAAGCCCCAGTAGAGTTTGGGAAACGCTACATGTTTACATTTGTGGTAGGATGGAAAAGCATTTTTCCTGTATGCAATGCAAACAAGCCAGAATGTACAGTTTGGTATGGAGCCCTAGCAGTAAAAGTGAGTGAGTTTATAGATATTCTCCTGATTTATTTATGGTTAATTTGAATAAAGATCTATCTTGCAGTTTTTTTTATGTTTCTCTGCATTACACACCTGATTCAGATGACTTCAGCTCAGCAAAAGCCTGTTAATCAGTCATCAAATGAAATTACCCGTCTAATATTATTTCTTTTGTTGACAGTCACTTTAGCATGTGTTTTTCAGGGCCCCCTTGGTTTGGAGTTATTGGTTTTAACGTGGGGTTCCCTAATTGCATTATGAACACCAATATTCAAGGACCCTGACCTGTCAATTTTGAATGCTAATTGTTTTAAAAGACTTAGTGTTTCCTAATACTAGTATTAGGATATATTTCCTAACTGCAAGTGAGGTATTACTCTGTTATGATTGAGGACTGAACTAAAATGGCATTGACAGTGGCTGATTTTCAGACCTTTGCAGCGGTAGATAAGATCAGGAGATAAGGTTGGTTTCACATTTAATGATTGGTTAGATACTGAAGTTTTCAGTTATAAATATGAAGAAACGTGGATGAAAGTACTATAAAGTAGTGAAAGAGAGGGACACAAAGAGTCACACATGGAATAGAAAAGCTTTTATGCTTTATTTTTTGGGGGGTCGAGGGTAATAATAGATGCACAGATTCAGGAAACTTGCAGTTTTAGTTTTCATAATAATGTTTCTCCATATTTCCACTTTTAATTATTAATTTAATAACTAATAATTTAATTCTAGTTGAAAAGTTCAACTGAAAGAAACATCATTAGTTCATTTTTTTTTTCTTTTCTTTAGTCCAACTGCTTTTAATGTTCTTTCTTGTTTCTGCATCATTTTTTAAATAATTTATTCTTTTATTTTTACTTCTACTTGCTCTGATTGTGTTTTATTTTCCTATATTTTAATCATGTAAAGCACTTTGCATTGTCTTTGTACTGAATTGTACTATACAAATAAATTTGCCTTGCCAAATTTGCCTAATAATCTGAAAAGGCCTCACAAGCATTTCCTCCGTTTTCTGTTTTCAGACAACGGATGCAGTTCTCCTCTCCCCAAATTCGCCACGTCGCCCAAACCAAACAACAGCTACATGTTTAAACGGGAACCACCAGAGGGATGTGAGCGGGTCAAAGTGTTTGATGAACTGGTGTAAGTAGAACCAGGATGCCTGTCCATCATTTCAGGTGTTTGGATAAAGTAAAGGTTTTAGAACATACCAAATGCTCTAGCCCTGAAAAGAACCTTCAAGGTACTCAAGAAGATAAAGTTGTGTTCACACTGAACACATTTTGAATGTCAGAAAGGCGTCTAACACCTCAACTTAGACGCCTGTTTATATTGAAGTCAGACGCTGTCAGACGGTTTTATTTGCTTTGACGAGTTATTAAAAAAGTAAACGATGCAGTTTATCAGGATTATGATCCCAAATAGAAATATTCTGTTCTTGTCCGGAGCGGCAGACCCGCCACATACCGATGGGTGCCAGAGTCCCCAGTTAATGCTTTCTGAAGCTCGCCAGGTAGTCAGGGTTTTCCAGCTGCCGTTTATAGCGACTGAAAGTAAATATAAAGAGTTTTTTAGATTTCTAGAAAAAACTATAAGCACCAGAATTTAAAAATCAAAAAACTTTCCCTGGCAGGTTTTGCGAATTTTAGTTAATGCGGGTATTTATAAACTGTAGTGGAGTAATAATGATCAGCACTCCCTCTTTTCCTTGTGCATAAAACAACCCAATCTCCTGGCTTTTTAAAACTAGAGGAGTTTGACCTCATTATACGTATATACATTTTTCATAGTTTAATGCTTACAGCATTGCAGAAGCGATCACTGCGTGCATGTAGCGTCCGTCTCCAGACAGCGGCTGCATCAGCTTCTCTGACACTCTGCATCCAGCTGCAGAAATGGATATTTGCCAACTGTAGTGTCAGCCGCTCTAGAGGCTCTTCACACGCATCAAGCCAAACGTGCAGCATAAAACATGTGGAAAGATTAAAAACACGTCGGGCAGGATGAGCGTAAGGCATTGCGAGATATCGTTAAGCCGCCTGAGGCGCGTCATTATAGACTTTTCATATAAACCGGATGCACTTCATTCAGCCTGTTATTTGCTCCAAGTTTTTTACTCTTTGTTGTAGGCAGGTCACATGAACTACAGGCGTTTGAAAAATGTTGAAAATACAACTTCCATTCAGTTTTTTTTATCTCTGCTTTTTAAAATGTATTTAAAAACACCTTAATGATACTAAATATAGCTTATGGTGAGATGATATTCAGTTTCATTGAAGGGAGAAAGTCCAAGAATATGGTGCTTTCTCTGGTTTGAAATATACAGGATATTTGAGTTTCTGATTTGCTGACCACTTCACCCATCTCAGCAGAGTATGGAATAAAAAAGAAAAGATTGTTTTCAATGTGAAGGAGCAGCAAAAAATAAAAAGAAGCCGACTTACGAACGTCCTGGATGTCCTACGTGCATCTTATGTGATTTTACACTGGATGTTGTTTTGAGACATCAGTACCAGGGATCTGGTTTTTCTTAAACTTTACATTTATCTTCTGCTTTGTTTTTTATTACTTTTGTTGATACTGCTTTCAGGGGATGAAAGAACAAACCTCCATCCTTCCCAATTATAAATATCCATGTCTCAATTCAAAGCTGAAATTCAAAAGGACCCTGATTTTGGACTTTAAACTAAGACCTAAAGCAAAGTAGTGGCTTTCTAATTGGATCATGAATTTGTCATTTTCCTTTTTTTCTTTCCTTTTTTGTTTATGATGACCCCTTGACATCCAAATGAATTATGTTATTGCATAAAAACTTTATTTTTCCCTTGATTCTTACTGGACAATAGGATTAAAAGAACGTTGCTAACTAAATAAATGTGACACTATAATCTTGTTTTCAGTAAAAACAGTCATAATGTAAGTGTAACTTGTTTTTCTTTTCAGCTCTGGCAAATCAAAAGGCTTCCCTCTGTTCTCATGTCCCGACAAAAACAAGGTGAACTTCATTCCCAGGGGCTCTGCCTTCTGCCCCGTCAAACTCCTCTGCTCCTCGCTGTTCTCCCCCATCAGCCCCAGTTTTCATGTCAGCAGCGGCCACGCAACTCAGGTGACCCCATCTCAGCCCACGGGGCCAGGAGCATTTTTGTCCTCCCCAGAAAGGAGCGTCGACCTGAGTGTTAGCCTGAGGTCAAGTGTAGGCACAGGCGGCCAGAGCGCTGACGCAGGAGACGGCTCAGCGCATGTAGTCCTCACCAGCTGGTCCTCAGGTATTCATGACCAAACCACATACAAATAAAACATTGCAACTAGCCTGGTAGTTTGGAATGGGAAAAAAAAAGGAAGAAAAAAAAAAAAACAACACAAAAAAAAAAATCACACTGATAATCCTAACCTTAGCCAGTAGGGGGTGCCCACGGCTCTGGAAATCACAAGCGCCCTTTGAAAAGAGTATCAGCGTCCTGCTGCATGAAACTTCCTGTTAGGATTGTTGTTTGATGTTTTAGGATTAATACTCGATGTTTGGGCATTGTTGCTGACCTTGGTCATCAGCCTCTCTCCTCCCATCCCTAACTAACCTCCTCCTCTCCATCCCTTCTTATCCATCATCACATATAGCAGAAAATCTTTTGCTTATTCTGCAACAAATAGAACTAAATAATTAAATTATATGTAGCGTTGGCAATTTTATGAAGATAAAAATAAATAAAAAAATCCAAAATTGTAACCTTGCAATATCAGCTAAAACTGCATCGTGTTCATGTTATCCAGCTAGCTTATTAGCTGTTCAGTGTTGAAGCTAATACACATATGGGAATTCTTATACTTTACCAAACTGTGGCTGTTAGGTTACAGGGCGTTTTCTTTTGCTCACATGTATGTTTGAACGTACTTGTTGCATGTTGGTAAGAAGAAAGCAGCAGTACTTGTATGTAGTTGTCCATCAACGGGTTTTTTAGGGCCAGGCCTAAACATGTACACCTAGTGTTATTACCAGCATAACCGGATGAGCCGAGCACAAAATGCAAATACGAGCTGTTTAATCAGTGGCCAGGAAACCAACCACAAACAAATGACTTTCTGATTCCCTTTTTTATTGGCCTTCCCAGTGTAAAGCAATAACTCAGGTCAGTTAGAAAGTAAACGGTGTGACTGCATTACCAATACCCAGTTTATCTATTTATAGGAATATTTTGTAATTCCCTTTATTTTTTATTTTATTTTATTTTGTTTACTTCCAGGAATGGAAGGTTCATTAAAACTGAGTTGTTTTTTTGTCAGATTTTTGACATTAAACCTGTTCAGGTTGAGCTTAAGGTGCCTACGACACATTCCAGGTTTGCTCTAATGCAAACCCACTTAGCTGCATAAGCTACTTTAACCTTCATTTGAATTGAGAATTTTCTAATAATGTAGCAATGCTATTCCACGTGTACCAAAGCAAAATACAAAAGGGCACAAAGACACAGTCACATTCGGGATGTCAGGGCAATTTTCTGTGCCTCAATGTTTGTGTTTTTTTTTTATTTTTTTTACTTCAAGGAACTTAGTGACGAAAGAGGCTCTGGGTTAATTTACCACCTTCAGAATCTGTTTGCCCATTTTATACCCCTTAATACTATTGAATACCAATGTATTTAGAGAGAGATCCTATTTTTAACAGCTATTTTTTCAGCTGTGTTCAGACTTAAAGCTTATAATAGTTGTATATTTAGTTCAACAGTCAAAGTGAGTGGCAGGATAATTACAAAATCTGAAAGAAGAACAAAAGAGAGCCTAAATAGTTTGGAAAGCCAAACTCTGGTGGCAGTACGTTACATATTGTCCACTTAAACAAAAAGAAGCAATGGCAGAGTTTTTAGTTTGGATGCATAAAGCTTTATAAAGCAATTTTTTTTAAGTCACTCCTTTAAATTGACATTTGATCCCTGATCAAATCATAAAAAACTAAGGGACCTTCTGCCAGTAGATGCAACTTATCAGAGTCACTTTAACACATTTCCCTATATATAAGGAAAACTTTAAATTCCAGGTTGTTGGAAGCGGGTTTGAGCAGGCTGCTCCCTTTAAACTTTCCAAAATACTACAACAGAGCAACCCATTAAACGGGTTAAACAATCTGTGCTCAACCCATAAACATTTCAAAAACAACTGCTTTTTATTAATTAGCCCAAGCCTTAGCACTTACTTGGAAAGGAAAAGATGATCACTGTTCCATTCTGTATACCAGTTTGTTAATTAAAACAATCAGAAGAATGTGAAATTGGATTTTGTTTAGCAAAAAAAGAAGTGCAAAAAGTAGAATGTATTCCAGTTTGGGTTATATAAATAAGTGTAGATGTTTGACAGCTGGTATTACAGCAGGATTTTCAGCGCGTTTTGGAGATAATAAAGCATAAACACTGCAGGTTTATGCTAAGGACCCCTGATTGAGATTTATCTTAAATGCTTTGTTCAAACAAAAAGCAGGATAACATGTGGGACACATTCCTCTCTTCTGAAGTCTGTTCAGCCTGCAGTTTCAAGAGTTTTGACTGTCATTCACAAGCATGTTGTGCTGAACATTTAAAGAATCATTTGCTGTTGGCAATAATGAATCCATTCTTCAGTGTTTTACATGTTTTTGTGTAGATCTTGTGTTTTTTTTTTTCAATAAAGAAAACAGAAAAGCCTCTTTTTGAGTTGATATGTTCTCTTTTTTTAAAGGGCATCGGTACACACAAGGACAAACCAATCAGCATTCATTACATCTCACATGTTTAAAGCAAGTTAAGGCTGTTCATATAGTCGATCATAATGAAAATTAGAGCTTAGCAACACAGAATAGAAAATGGCATAAAGGTTGGTTGTTGTATACTTCAGACTCCAAATAAGTCTTATCTGTGTATACGTTAAGGCTTTCATGCTGAGATATATTTGTTTATGCTGCATCATTGTCAAAGTTAGAACATACTGTTGATATATTGAATCCTTCTAAATATAAATGTTTCCCAAAAAGAGGAGTTACTGTGAAACGCATGCATGTTTAATGTTATTTGGGGGGGAAAAAAGGCAGCGACATCAACAGCATAACTTAAAGCAAAAGCATGCTAGTTGGACAAAGAGAACTTTATGTAAACATAAAAAGAAATAAACACCATCTGAATTTGTCACACATAAATGCTCACAGTGCAAGAACTTTAGGTTGGGTTTACTAAATCTTTGAACTGAAGGTTGAGGAACCTTCTTTTGGACATTTTTATGTTTCCACAGTGTTTAACCTCAGAGACATGACAAGTTAAAGAGGCCTTCACTTCACAAAACAGAAATCCTATCTGTAACATTAATAAAGGGAGTGAATGATACTTTTAGTTTATATCTAGGATGATCAGATAAAAAATTATGCAACACACACTTTAAAAAAATTGCATTTCAAAATCTACACTGACAGCTTAAAACCAGCTATAAATCTAAAAAGATGTTGGTAAGGGCTATTTTTGATTCTGCTAAAGAATAAATCATGATTATTAAAACGATCAAAATGCGAGTTTAGTCTGGTTAAAAACTTTCAAACCTTCTGTGACTTGAATTGAACTTCTGATGCTATTTACTACGGCTAAGCTACAGAGATCCGGTGAAGTCAGGACTCCTTGCTTTTCCCAAAAACCCAACGATTGTCAACATTTGAGTCTTTTGTTTCACAAATGAAACCCTAGTTTTAATCGAGTCGTATCATTTTGATAATCAAAATTTTGTAAAATTGAAAATTGTGACATAAATAGAAGAATATAAAGAAAAGCACTATGTAGCTTTGGTGCAGAATGTTTCCTATATTTTAGGAAGAAGTCAAATTATTTTGGAAAACAAACCACTGTAAAGCAATGCTGTATAACTCAAATCCTTGTGTATTATTTGACCTACACACCTGGATGAAATGGCTGAACTACCTCAGTAAACATGCAGTCAAGCTATGCAGAGCTCTGCTCATCTTGGAATCAGACAGCGGCCCTCAAGGGTTGAAGTTTTTGTTTTATCTATAAAAATGGTCACACTTTTTAATGTCTTTCCCAAGAAGATTTGGAAATAGAGCAAAATCCTGACTGACTCCACAGTTTCCCAAGGCTGTCCAGGTCAAACCTTTTTTGTTTATCTCAACAAAAATCCATGCACTTTATTTATCAGCAGTTTAACTAATATCTTGATAGCACCTTTCAACTGGCATTAAAAAAAAAGTTTGATTTGGAATTTAGCTAATTTAAAACATTACAAAAGACTTTTTAAGTATGAAGTATGATTTTTGTTTTTAAATTAATATTTAGCTAGCTAGCCAACAACCGCTGTAAGTTAGATTTCTGTCCTTATCCTGAATCTTTCAATCCTGCCGATGCTAATCAAGCCACCAGAATTAGTCCTACCGGTAATTATTATTAGGGTCAAATAAAGATTCTGGAAAATGTTAGGCTTAGAGGCAGCATTTCTCTCTCATGTCGCTGCCTTTAAAAGAAGCACATAAAAACCTTAACATCTACAGGTGCATTTAAGAAAATCCTAGAGTTCATTTGTTCACCCAATTGAAGTGAAACTTGTGGATGTTATAGCTTCATTACAGTCATGCTTTTCAAGTATTTATTTCTCTTAGTTTTGAAATTTATGTTCACCAGCTAATGAGAACTTACATTTTGTTTCTCAGCAAAATCCGTATTACATCAGACAAAGTATTTCTGACACAGAAGTTGACCTAAAGAACAGTATATCAATCTACTGTATGTTTATATACACTCATTGCCTACTCTTTGTCAGAGTTCTCGTAAAATCTTAAATAGGCTAGGTCTATTTCAAGTAAAAGTTATCCCTATTGTCTTTGCACCTTTTTTCTTTGACTAAACTCTGAATAATACAATATTACTCTGAGGCTGACTACTGTCTGCTGAGCATTCCTCTACATTAATGAGATGAACATCCCAGTATTCATTGTTTTGGGTCTTTTTATCAAACTGTAATTTCTAAGAAACTGAGTTTTGTGTTTTAATTTGCTGTTAGTTATAAAAATTATCAGAAATAAATGCTTGAAATGTCCACACCACTGTGGGTATTAAAGCTTTATGAGTTAATCTGCAATAAAATGATAACTATTATAACAATATTCCTCAAGAAAATATCTCAACTTTTTAGAACGACCATTAAAAAATTTAACTGTGGTGTGTGTATTAATTTTAGAATCTGATTTCAATTATATTTACATTTTATTTTGTTCTTAATTGATTGTCTCTGTTTATTTTATCTGTTTTGGTGGAAATTTGAAAATTCCCCTTTTTAACCTCTGGTGTGAATATCTTATATATGAAACAGTTTGCAGCGTTTAAAAAGGATCCCGATGATGAGGAAGAACTATGCCGTGTGAAGCTCATGCTCCCTGTTAGCTTCTCCGATTGCATCTGGATTGGAGAGAGGGTCCAAGTCAGCGAACAGGTTGAACCACGCTGAAAGATCTTTGGATGTCCCAGCCGTTTCTACACAACGGGGAAACAAAATGTGTTTGTTGTAAAGCAGCACCAAAATCTTATTTTATTGAAGTATAGCCTTCAGATAGAATATGAACTAATGAAAAATTAGTTTTACCTTTTGCAGCTGGTTTTGAGGGATTCTGTTCAGCTCTAGATGAGCACTCTGCTGCACAGGTGGCTGACTGTGGGACGGTGCTGGTCCAGTCTGAGGCAGGGAACCAGAATTACATTAATAATCACATAAATCAGGAAAAAAAATAATCTGACATCACACATCTGAACAGCAGAAATGGCAAAGGTGCTAAAGTTTTTTTTTTACAGCACATATTTATTGCACATATGAGGAATATTAACTTAGCATTATTTATACCTATTTCTCTGGGTGGATTGGATGGCATCATCTTCATTTTTACAGAGATGTTTAACTCTTGTTTATCTTTTTTTTTTTAATCAATTTTCTCAATTTACACACAAAAAACTGTGTTTTCTGAGGTTAAAAGTGAGAAACTGAACTATAAAAAGATGCACAATGCTGCAAAGTGGAAGAAAATGGTAAATAGTTTTCAATCTTAGAAACCAAATGTCTTCAAATGTCACCTGATTAGTAGAGTCCCAATGCAGAGTGAGCATTTCACAGCAAACTATTCAGCCTGTTACTTAAAAGAATGACACAACACCAAACAACCAGGACATCCGTTCACCTAAGCTGACAGGCTGGACAAACAACATAAATGAGGAAACCATCAAAGCTATGTTCTGAGGAGCTGCAAAGATCTGCAGTTTAGGTGGGGAAATTTAACAAGTATGTGTCTGATAATAGTTTGGCATGTAGAGAAAATTTGATTAAAGAAAACTTAATTTAAAGAGCAGAATACATTTGGAATCCCCTATAAGCACCATTTGAAGATCTCTGGCTTAGATTTGTTAAATAAGCATATATTAAAAATGAAAAATATTTAGTCTTTTGAGTGTTACTACAAATAAGTGCAAAACTTAACGAAAGCTAAGCACCACTGGGAGGATGCTGTTATTAATATAAACAGTATTAGAAACAGTTCATGGCCCTGTAGAAGCATTCAAGACTTGTGCAGGGTGGCCCAAATGATCAAATTACTCTGCATGTTACTGAATCATGGAAAAAGTGGCTATGTGGCCATCCTTGCACAGTCCAAGGCAAGGCAAATTTATTTGTATAGCACAATTCAGTACAAAGACAATGCAAAGTGCTTTACATGATTAAAATACAGGAAGATAAAACAGAATCAAAGCAAGTAGGAAAAAAATAAATAGAATTAAATAAAAAAATGCAGAAACAAAAAAGAATATTAAAAACAGTTGGACTAAAGAAAATATGATTTAGTTGAACTGTTTAACTAGAACAGTCGAAGACAATCCTAAACAAATGTGTTTTTAGTCTTGATTTAAAGGAACTCAGGCTTTCCGCACTTTTACAGTTTTCTGGAAGTTTGTTCCAGATAAGTGGAGCATAGGAACTAAATGCTGCTTCTCCATGTTTAGTTCTGGTTCTAGGTATGCAGAGCAGGCTGGAGCCAGAAGACCTGAGTGGTCTGGAGGGTTGATACACTGATAGCAAGTCTGTGATGTATTTAGGTGCTAAGCCATTCAGAGATTTATAAACTAACAGAAGTATTTAAAGTCTATTCTCTGAGATACAGGGAACCAGTAGATCTGGGGTGATGTGCTCTACTTTCTTAGTCTTAGTGAGGACACGGGCAGCAGCGTTCTGGATCAGCTGCAGCTGTCTGATCCACTTTTTAGGCAGACCTGTGAAAACACTGTTGCAGTAATCAATAAACGCATGGATTAGTTCAGGAAAGTTTGGATCACTCAAGAAACAATATAGAACCAAACAATGTTGGTCTGTGGCATCCAGAGGTGCTGCTATCTGTTCAGCTCAGTGTTGGATGAAACGACTGATGTTTGTGCTTTCATAAAACCCTTTCATCCTGCAAACGGAGCGTCGCTGATTCCAACAACAGCTTCGTATGTCATTGTTTCCTTGGCAAAGACACTTCACCCTGTTTGCTTACTGAAGGCCCTGTGGTTCTGTTAGTGCGCCCCAGGGCAGCTGTGGCTATAGAGCTCCCTGACTTTAAAAGGCACCATATGAGCAGAGGCCATGTACCATTGGAAGCTCCACAGTGTAACCACAAAACTGTAATATCTACAATATGTACAAGGCTTCCGCTTGGTGTCCTTTTGTCAGTGTTTGGACCATTGGACATTCCAAGAACTGCCTCATTCCACCACTGATGCAATCAGGTGTATTTCTTAATGACACCATGTGTGGTTGTTCCCCAACTAATAACCAAATTAAAACATTTGCAAGCCTAACCATTTTATACGGACAACGTTTCCCCCAGTTCTGACCACCTGCAAATTCCTTTGATTTTTGCGTTTAAAAATTACAATCCAGTTGCTTAGTTTCTGCTTCTTGCCCATAAGTGTCTGACTGCAGATAAATAAACAGAATCGACAGCTGAACAATCAGCCTGACAGGGGAGACTTACTTAAGCTCTGGTCCAAAAGCTGTGATGGCAAAAAGAACGAGTTGTCCTGCTGCTGCTGTGTTTCAGCTGATCCGCCAGAGGCTGCGCTCGTCTCCGTGTCACCAAACCCTTTTGTCCACTCCTGGGACACATCGCCATCATCCACAAACAAACCGCCCAGAATCTCATTGAGCAGGGCCAGGCTGTCCTCCACTCCATCCAACTCTGGGAAAGTAGAAAAGCTGTTTTACTATGAGAATTAGAAGTTAACAAACCTAACAACCAATGTAAATGATCATTTCACTTTTACTTTAGCCTAAATGTAAAACTATACCAGCTTTAAGTCCTTAGGGTTAATTAAAAACATTCTTTGTTAAGCTAAATGTTTATTTTGATGATGAAAACATTTAAGTTTGTTTTCAAAATATTCTGCTTTTTGAATCACATTCCTTTGATATAAAATAAAGTTGTCTTTTGGTGCAATAACAATATAGAATAAATAAATTGCTTTTTACCTTCTCTTATCTTTTCGCACCCGTCTTCATGTCCTAATGAGATAAGTCTGTCAAAGTAAAAAACAAAACAACCTTAGAAGAACTGGATCTTAAGCACTGGTTCTACATATTTACGTTTCTAATAGGAGGAGAAAAACATTCTTTTTTGTATTTTGCTACAAACATATGTTCATTTATTCTTGCCCACTTAATTATTGTTTTTTGTTTTTCTCTAAGTGTATCCCAGCACATCTTTACCAAGGGTGCTGATGGTAACAGAGGGCATCTTATAACCTGGAAATATTCCTTCATCCAGCAGCCAAGGTAGTATAACAATAGAAACAGCGGATGCACACAGAAATGTTGTCACTTTTATTAACAGCCAATATCACTTTAGCACCAGTAAATAAACCGAAGCCCCTCAGTAATTTGGTTTATGTATTTCTTCTCCTTAAATAAACTTGAAATATAACAGAAAGTCTATATTTCTGTAACTGAGGCAACATTAAAATGGATGTATTTAAAAAAGGAAACCAAATAATGTTTCTCTTTAAAAAAAATTTTCACAAATGATCTCTAAGTCACTTCATGTTTATCTCTACCCCTTGCAAACAGGAAGTCGTGGATTAACTGATTAGATCCAAGAAACTAATCAGGTATTAAGGTTTCGGTATGATGTAGGTAACAGGTAACATGTAGAAAATAGTTGGCTTGCATATTTTGAAGAGATCTTTCGATGGACTAATAATCTTGAATCTTGAAAAAAAAAGATAAACAAATAAATAAAACAATGCCCTCCCCTGTACATATGTACTCAAGTTTGATTTTTCCAATTTTCTCAATTTATTATAAGCCTTCTACATTCAAAGGTAATTTAATTTAACTTAAGGTTTTTTTTTTAAACATCTTAATAAAGGACAACAAGAAATGTGTCCGTCTTTAAAAACTATTTTGCAATTTGTCATTTATTTGGTGAAGTGTAAACAAAAGTAAAATAAATGGTCTGAGTGTTAAGCCTACTGATCTTCAGGTGTCTCGTCTCCTTTTTTCTCCTCCATGTCTTCCTCTGTTGATTTCTTTTCCATCTTTTTATCCAACTTGTCTGTGGAATCCTGTGAGGCCTGTAAAAAGAATTCCAGCTCATCAGTTCATTTCTTTTTCCTTCCTCTGTGGTAGAACTTATATGTTTTCCTCCTGGACATGTGCTCTGACCTTCACTGTGGAAACCTCATGCTGACAGCTTTTAAAGCTCTCATGTATGGCTGCCATAGTGTGGGATGTCTTTCCCCAGAAGTGCAAAAGAGTCGTCTGAAACACAGATCATTTCTATTTGCTGATGAAGATTCTCAGTCATCCAGGTCATAGTCATTCCGTAAAAGTTTAAAAAACAATCCACTGGACTTGGTTTCCAAAGTTTGAAGACGTTTCGCTTCCCCTCCAGGAAGCTTTCTTAATTAAAACATTTTTGAATTGAGAAAGCTTCCTGGAAGGGAAGCAAAACATCTTCAAACTTTGGAAACCAAGTCCAGTCGATTGTTTTTTTAAACATTTATGGAATCATTTCTATATATTCTATGATGGAAAATAGAGCTGCCATTAATGAAAACATAATATAAGAGAGTTGTGGAGTTGAAGCAGGCAGCTGGGACATAGAGTGATAAACCTGGTATGTTGTCAGAACATGTGAGAGGAGGTTGCAGCGGCTGGCACCCAGCAGGTCGACCTTCTGGCAAACGTCGTTCTTTAACTTGTCAAAGCTGGTTTTGGTTGTGCGAACTTGAGCCTGGACCTGAGACATAATATAAAGGAAAAACAGTTGGCCTTTCTGAGCATGTTCTGCCCTCTAGTGGAATTTTTTGTGACTGCAAGCTGTTCTACACTATATTTTTATTCTGCTATTGGTAAACAGTAAATCAAAGATTTAGTGAAAAAACATAATCAATAATGCCATCTAACTGGTCATCTAATGACTCTTCGCCCATGAAGAGTCGGTTTAGGAAGCTCATAACTGTTTGACTGCTGTTATATTTTATTATTGTTATTTTTCTTTTATATCTATATTCTGGAATAAACCAAACCAAAGGAAAGACAGACATCAAATCTCCACAAAATATTAATAATAATAAATCTGAAAGGAAGGAATCCCCTTTGTGCTTCTGTTGCTGTCAGGCTTTCTGAAGGTCTATTAGCATTTTTCTTTAGACTTTGGCTGCTTTTTGGCTAATTTCAAGTCCATCTCTTGAAAAATGGACAAGTTAAGGAAGAAAAGGGAACATAAAGGACATGAGAAATGCATTGTTTTCAGTTCATTTATTTTATGCCATTTTTTAGCTACTAGCTCTCTGGGAGTCCAGTTGGAGTCATGTTTAAATTAAAGGATTTCTTTAAAAAAAGTGTCCACCTTTAAAAGAAAGCTGGTAAATAAATGGATCTTACTTAAAGTTGGTATTTAAGTAAACTTTTATCTTTAAATACTTGGTTGTCATGCATTTTATTTATTTCATTTAAGTATTTTTAATCTAAATGATTTAAAGGTGAGAGTTTAAAACAGAGGAAACAACTAAAACCCAACAGAAAGTTTAGACACTTGTTCATCAGAACCCTTAAAAAAGCTCTGAAAAAATTTGACAATATCTAGAGACATGGGCGATGCCATTAAAACTGCTAACTGATGTTCAGCTGTAAACTGTTCACCATTTTGCAGACAGGCTTGAGTGTATAGTATCTTTTTTTCTGTAGGTCGCTCTATAGGAAGCACAAACCTTGCGGAATTTCTCCATCTGTTTATGTGTGTCCGGATCGAGCTCTTGAGATATGTCCTTCATCCAAAGCAAGGCTCCACGGTACTCGGTCCTGGACTGCTCCATTCGATTTACCGTCAGCCACGTGTCTGAGATGGCCCGATAACGGAACGTTTCGATCTCCTGGTACAGACGACACAGAGGCTTCCTCAGAGCCAGCCTGCAGGAAGAAGAGTTGTTCTCAAAATAAAGGTTCCACATATCTGTAATCCAAGCTCCATGTTTCTTTTACTCCACTCTAAATCTTCTAAGTGTTGTCTAAAGAGTTCCTCCAGATCTATCGAAGGGATTTAAAAAAGTTAAAAGACTAAAAGACTAAATATTATTTTAAGTTTCTCATCAGCAATACATCCCAGAGACAATATCTATAACCAACTGTGCAGAGGCTAATGTAAAATAAAATTTAAACCTAGAATAAGCATAGATCACAGTACGTAATTTGATTCTTAAAGAATAGCGTGGACCAAAATGTGAAATTGCATATTTGCAGTAGGACTGAAACAATTAACAATTAATTTAATTAGTCATGATTAATCGAATATTAAAATAATCGTCAACTAATTCAGTAATCGATGAATCGTTACCCACTTAGAGCAATAACTATACCAAAATAGTGAAAAAATATAGTAATGTTTTACAATTAAGATAAAAAAAAACTTTTTTTCCTATCTGATTAATATTTGATTAATCGAAAGAATAATCAACAGATTAATCATTATCAAAATAATCGTTAGTTGCAGCCCTAATTAACAGGCTTAATTACAACGATATCCAACTACATCTTTTAAGAACTGTTAAGTTGATCAACTTAAGAAGCCATAAACACTCATTTCCAGTTGATGACCCTGATTGGTTGCAGCTCTTTCTTTCTCTTTGCTAAATAACAACAGATCCATAAATAATAATAGATCCATATTCCAACACCGAGCAAAGCCAAGGACCTCAGTGGAGATCTATGCAGGTTTACATTCATTTGCATGTACATACATTGCCTTTACTGAAAGATAATTCAATATGAGTTTAATTTATTTGGATATGTTGCTACTCTGGTTACTGAATGGAAGTAAAGTTTTGTTTCTAGGATATGAATTATAAATGCCATTGAAAGTGCGGCTAAGATGAAAAGAAACTGGCATGTTCAGGAACAAACCAGAAACTCTAGACTACCTGGAAATGTTTTAAAAGCAGTTTATCTAGATGTCAGTTAAAGAGGAAACTTATGTGTGGCGCCTACCTCTGCTGGGAGGAGAAGCAGAGAGCTTTCCCTGTCGCCTGCATGATCTTCCCAGCCCTGCTTTTATCCTGCGACCCATTGGAGCGCAGGAAACGACCCAACTCATTCTCCTCCTGGGAAAGGACTGAACAGTAACAATGAAGCGTTTCATTTTTGAAAATGAGATATTTTAAATACTGGTTTCATCTTTAAATGCTGTCTTCCCATGAGGTAATGTCTCCATTTGTATCTTGATCATACGCACACCTTAACACTTAAATGTTTCTTATGCAAAACATACAGTCATGAACGACAATCTCCAGCTAAAAGATGAACAAAGGTAACAAAGATGTTTTCCTGGTCTAAACATCACAGTGATGAAGCCACCAGCAGCAACCCCACCTGATGGGCTGTTTGACCAAACTGGGATTTCTTTCAGCGTTTTCTGAACTTACAACATATCCTCCTCTGGTAGAGCTCAATGACCTTTAGGAGCTCCATGCATGTTCTTTGGATGGAGTGGAAGACCTATGGATGAGACAGCAGTCATCCAGAAACATCAACATATCCCCATGTAGAGCTTTGTTTTTGATTAATATAACTCTGAACTCTTCACTCACCTCCAGCTTGGCATCCAGGTCTGCGTCTGATGCCACCACATGTTCATCTTCTTTCTTCCCAGTGACTTTGATCAGCGTCTGCTTGGTTTTCCAGTACTTCTTCTGAAACTTGTTTACCACTGATGAGTCTTGACTTTGAATGAAGCGGTCAAAGTAGTGTCCAGAGTAGCCGCTGTGGAGAAAGGACTTGATCAGCTATATATATGGTGGTGGACAGACAATCCTATAAAGTATCCACTGAATACTTTCAGAGCAGAGGTTTACTTACAATGTTCCTTCCATTTTTCACAAAGACCTGTGAAGAAAGCAGAGTCATTGTTAATTAATTTGAAAATTGTTTCTTTGTAGGACTTTCCCAAGATCGAAGGTTGTGATTGTCTGAGTTGGACATCCATCCATTTTCTGACACACTTTATCGCAAGCGGGGTCACAGGGGATGCTGGTGTCTTATCTCCAGCTGTCTATGGGCAAGAGGAGGCGTACACCCTGGAGAAGTCGCCAGTCCATTGCAGGGCAACACAGAGACTTACAGGACACACCTTAGGAGAATTTAGAGAAGCCAATTAACCTAACGGTCATGTTTTTGGACCGGACGCATGAAGAGACTAGACCGGGAATCTAACCCCACACCCGTGTTGCTGCAAGACAAGGGTGGTCTTTTACTGTTAACCTCGCTTCTCTCAGTGAGCCCCAGGGCAGCTGTGGTTAAAATGTAGCTCACCACCATCAGTGTCTGAGTGTGTGCATTAATGGGTAAATGTAGCTGCACTTTATTGTTCTTTTTCACTGCTAAGCTGCTGCTAAAAAAA